GCCACCTAAGAAGTAATATTGCAAAGGATAATACGAGCATTTCTAGTCTCACCTGAACTCTTATCATTCCTGAACAGAAAGATGTTTAGCTGATGCTAAAAAAAAAAAAAAATCCTAAAAAACTCTCTCTTTTGAAATCTTTAGTGGTTTTAGTCAGACACGTGAGCTGGGTTTAGAGCCATGGAATGCTACAACTCTAAGGGACCTTATGTTGTCCCTCTTTATTTTACTGCTGGGCCAGAAGAGGCACGGAAAGGTGACGTTTCTTGCCTTAGGAGATACAGCTCACTTCTACAACGAGGACTAGAATGCACATTCAGATTGCAGGGGTTTTCACATGTCACAATAATCATACCATACCAAATCTCATTAACTTTAAATTAATTCAGAGTTTTCAGTAACGTCATAGTCCACATAGTCCACAGGGTGTCTGAAGCTCTCTTTACACTACTGTTGTTCGGACAGTGTAACTTTTTGTTGTGGGAGGCTTCCTGGGCCCAATAGCATGATTATCATATTCCTGATCCTTATCCCTTGGATGCCAATGTTACTGCCTCTCTCTCATTGTGACAAAATGTCTTGTCTTACTTACTTTTCTCTCACTGCTGAGACAAACTACCCAACACCTCTAGTGAGAGGGTTTATTTAGCTCACAGTCTTTAGAGGTTTCCGTTCATAATTGACTGGCTCCAAGCAAGGGCCCTTAACAGCTTTTTCCTGCACTTTTTTTTTTTTGTCTTTTTGAGACAAGGTCGCTATGCAGTGCAGGCTGGCCTTGAGCTCATTTTGTAACCCAGGCTGGTCTCAAATTAGCAATGATCCTCCTGCCTCAGCCTCCTGAGTGCTGGGATTACAGGCATGCATCACCACGCCCGGTCTTCTGCATTTTTTATATTCCCCTTAGGCTATTGGGATTAGGGTGGTGCTAAATCAATTACTGGATTGATTTAGTAATCATTCACCCACCCTTAATCCTAGCATCGCACCATGGATGAATCACACTGTCTAGATACAGCCACCTCTGGAAAAGCCCTGCCTACCATCACATGAGGCTTTTGTGGGGTGGGGGGCATCTAGACACAACCATAACATGTCTGCAGATTTGGCCAAATGTCTCCAGGAGGCAAAACTGCCCCCAGTTGACTCTGTATATGACCACTTTCTCTACCCGGCATGTTTTTTTTTCTTTTGGTACTGGGAATTGAACTCAAGACCTTGTGCTTGCTAGGCAGGCACTTGTGCCACTGAGCTATATCCCTGGCCCCCCAGCATGTACTTTAGAACATCTCCTCCAGAAGCCAGTATGACCTAACCTGAGGACCGCCTCCCAAGAATCTCCTACCCTAACCTGACAGTCATGGCTTTTGCTCAGATGTTCTAATTTCACTGGAGGTATTAATTCACTTGCTGGAATCCAGTCAGTCCAGATTAGCCAATGTTGCAGGTCCTTGCTCCATCTATTCCGTTCATTGTTTCAGCAGACTTTTGAGCGCCAGATATGCTAGATGCTGACCTAGGCACTGGGAATGCAGACCTAACACGTAATATCTCTTATTTCCATTAGTCAACCTCCAGTAGAGACAAAAATATTCATGAGCTACTCTCAGCAATGTGACGAGTCTCAGGGAGAGATGTACGAGCTGCATGTTACAGAATTAGAGAGTGTACCTAGTTCACACTGAGGGTGGAGCGAGGTCATTTTCAACATGGCGACCGCATGGAAGAAAGTCAAACACAAGTCAGAGCGAGCCAGGTATAGAGCGAAAAATGTTGCCAGACAGAGGGAACGGTATATCTCACAAACAAAAAGACAGAAATGTTGGTTTCTCCTGGCTACAGTATCAGCACAGCAGGAGACAAAAGGCTGTAGGGTAGGCAGGGCCCAGATCCAGAGGAGCCAGTTGCACCATTCCAAGGAATTTGGAACTGATCCTAAAGATAACTAAAAGATGGGAGGAGAGTGCATCAGATTTGCAATGTAGAAAGACCTGATGTACAGAAAATCACAAAGGTAGGGAAGATAAGGCCCAGACAGAGGTCATCTCAAGATGAATCATTGATGCGCATGTCCAAAAACCATCATGGGAGGAATTCTCATCCTGGAAAAGCTACTGTACTATCAAAGACTGGCAGAAAGAGGGGCAGAGGCACAGCCTCTCCTACCACACAGGAATGTAGGAGGAACAAACCTTTTCACACCAAGACAGGAAGAGCTTTTTCTTCCAGAAGCTAAATCTTCTCAGAGAGGCAGAGTTCCCTGCATCCCAGTTTCCCACTTAGAAGCCAGAATTTTCTTTTTCCATAAAGAAAAGTGATCCATTTTGTGTTTTAAAATATGTGATCACAGCCGGGCGTGGTGGTGCACGCCTGTAATCCCAGCACTCGGGAGGCTGAGGCAGGAGGATTGTTGTGAATTCCAGGCCAGCCTGGGCTACAAAGTGAACTCAAGTCCAGCCTGTATTGCATAGTGAGACCCTGTCTCAAAAAAAAAAAAAAAAAAAAAAAAAAAAGAAAGAAAAAATATGTGGATCAGCTGATTTATGGATCACAGATTTTGTGTCCGTATACGCACATGTGCCTCTATCTGTGCATTAACTATGGGACCCACTGTTGCTACTATGGCAAAGTGAATTATCGATTGACTTTTAGAATACAGTCAATTTGCCCACACACGCCCATCCAGAGAGTAAAAGCATGAATGACAGTAGCAAAACACCCCAGACTAGTTATGATTAGGACACTTCCCTAAGGAAGGGCTTCTGGGGCAATTTAAGAACAATGCAGCTGACCATATAAAATGCAAATTGAAAGCAGCTCTAGGCAGCTGTTGAAGCCCTGCCTGGGTTTTTCAGTGAGTCTACAGGAAGTTCAGTAGCTATCCTGTAGGACCTGACATGAAACAGGTGCTCTACAATGATTGGAAAGTAAACCGGGTATGTTGAAATAGACCAATATACTTGTATCTCCTGGTTAAATAAGACTTAGAAAAAGGTTGGATGAAAGGGTTGCTGAGCTGTATGCAGAAGAAGGGAAGGGACAGTATGGCTTAGCTCAGGACAGTAAAAGAGTGCTACAGGCCTTGCCCCTGTGCTCATGGGATGGAAATAGTATCCTCAGAGTCAGAGGCTAATAGGCTACCTTGATTTTTTTTTCTTTTTGGAGGCAGAGTCTCATTATGTAGCTTAGGCTGGCCTGGAACTTTCTCTGTAGCCCAGGCTGGCCTTGAACTGGTGATCCTCCTGCCTCAACTCCCAAGTGCTGGGGTTACAGGCACATGCCAACACATCCAGCAACATTTTATCTTGAGAAAGGGTCTCGCTAGGCTGTCCAGGCTGGCTTCACCATTTTCCTCCCTCAGCTTCTTGAGCAGCTGCATTTACAAGGCAGAGCAATTCTTAAAATACTATTAATAAAGGGCATCAACTGAAGTAATTAATGTTAGTCCCACAACCTAAGGCATATTTGCCGGAAGAGTTGAGTTGTTGATTTCCAGCTGATACGTGGTAGCTTTCTTCTCTCTGATTCATCCATTACTAAGATGGTCCTGGCTGCCTAGAATTTTTAATACAATTTCAAGATTCCACTTAGTACCCATTAGACCTAGCTGAATCTTCTTTCCAGGTACCTCGTTTTGCATTCCATGACGGCCCTGACCTATCGCTGGCCTCTCCCAGTTCCAAGCCACCGGGATCACTGAGCGTAAATATACTTTCTTAAAACAATGCTTCGGGTTAGGCTACGCCCTTTACAAAACCTTGTCACCCCCTGGGGAGTCACAGCAGAATAAAGTCCAAACCTCTAGCCTGCCTTTTAAGGCCCTGAAGAGCCCTGGCCTGTAAATTCTGCCCACCCCCATGGCTTTTGCATAGAGGGCAACATGACATCTTCAGTGTCCCCTGAACTGCTGATCCTCCTCATTCCTGCCGCTGACCTTTGCTTACAGCTCAACAATTCAGTGCTCGAAAACCTCCATTCCTCCCTCTTTGCATTAACAGCACATGCCTAAGTGTGGTCTGTCCAGCGGAGTACAAGTCCGAGCTCATTTCCACCCAGGCTACGCTTACTCCTTGTAGGGAATTCTGTGCATTTCTGGCTTCCTGATGAAAAGGGTGTTTTTTTTTTTTTTTTTTTTTTTTTCCTACCAGGATGTTGGTCATCCCACAGCTCTGCACAGTATAGAATAACCCAAGGCAACTGAAAGATGCCTGACATATCTTGAGAGCTCAAGAGTATCTGTTGATTTTACCAAATATATGCAAGACATTTGACTTTGTTCACTAAATAGTACCTCCCCTGATCTCCTCCAGGGACTTTCCTGTCTATTTCTAAGCCTCTCAGGCAAGAAAGAGCATCTAAAACTCTTTAACTTTGATAGAATTGGCTTTGACATATAAAATGCAGAATCTCCACTGGACTCCGTAGGAAATCAGAACACATCCACCCCCCCCCCCACTCCGCCAATTTTCCCACCCCAGCTCTAGTTAGTATTAAATTTCAGGCTCCTTGAAAATAACTGACCTGGATCGTTTCTTACTGAATATAACACTTTGTATGTTCCCTGCAGGGCCAAATCACCATGAAATTCTCCAAGGGAGAGAAAAAATATATATATATTGAATGGAGGTGTAAGTGTGAAACGTCTACAGGCAAAAACTGTACAACAGGTGCCGAGCTGCAAAATACACGTTGCAAACAGACCTTCCAGAGAAGCCAAAAGCCCTTTGGCTACCCCAGTGTTCTTTAGCTGTTGTTTCTGGAGATTTTCGACAACAAAAATTGCCCTTACTCGTTGGCTTTGACGTACTTAGCTCATCACTTACTGCTGAGTGTGTGTTTGACTTGTTTATCTGGGCGCAATTTTTGTCGCGCTCAGCCTCTTGCTGAGCGAGCGGGAAGACCACGTTTCCGTAAATCAAAACCCCGTGGACTTCACATGGGAACTACATTACCCAGCGGCCACTGCGCCCTTCGCAGGAAGGACGTCTGCGCACTAAGATACTCAGTTCCAAGTTTGGAGCTTTTAGCTGCCAGCCCTGGCCCATCATGTAGCTGCAGCACAGCCTTCCCTAACGTTGCAACTGGGGGAAAAATCACTTTCCAGTCTGTTTTGCAAGGTGTGCATTTCCACCTTGATTCCCTGAAAGTCCATCTGCTGCATCGGTCAAGAGAAACTCCACTTGCATGAAGATTGCACGCCTGCAGCTTGCATCTTTGTTGCAAAACTAGCTACAGAAGAGAAGCAAGGCAAAGTCTTTTGTGCTCCCCTCCCCCACCAAAGGAAAGGGGAAAATGTCTCAGTCGAAAGGTAAGCGCCTGTCTGCATTACTTGCAAAAATGCAAAGTGTTGTGCATGCATTTATGAATGCATGGATGCAATTTTCGCCTGGCGATTGCATTTTTAAGTTTGAGGTTTTCCACAGCTCAGTTGCATTTCCTGTTTAGTATGTGTCTTTTTTTGCAGACACAGAGAGTTCCTGTAAGGCAGGGCTTGCAGTTCAGCTGTGCATTGACGTTATTTGCATTCTTCTGCTAGGATTACTGAGCTCTTTTTGCCTTTTGCACAGTCAGGAGAGAGAGAGCAGGTTGGTAGCGTCTAAATGTGCAATGCTTTATATAATTGTAAAATTCTGTAGTCTGCATACATATTATAAGTAATTTTGTGTGCAACAGCAGCACAAACTTTTAAAAAGTCTGTAGGTGAAGATGAAAGGTAAAACTTGAGTTAAGCTACTAGGAAATTAATGAAATCTTATATTCTTTGGGGAATGAACCGTTGCGCTGCCAGTATTCAGCTGAATTTCCATTGATTTCGCTTTAAACCTTAGACAACTTTTGATTTTGAAGGAAGTAAAGGTGAAGCGTGGATAACAGAATATTACACAAAAACCAGACGAGTCCTGCTGTTCCGAGATTTTGCACTTTACACCAATTGCTTATTGGCTCGAAGTATTTAGAAGCAGTAGTGAACCCTACACGTGTTTGCCCATGTGGGAGATGCTTTGGATCTCGAGGGGAAATATTGGGCGGGGGGGAGTGTTGTACTTTTAAGCATTACAGCAAGATGAGGGGACTGCACGGTCAGGAAAGTCTTTCACTGACAACCGTAATGAAATCTTTGTGTGTGGTTGCATATAGTCAGCTATAATAGGTCAGAAGTTCAGGGCTGTGTTTGTTTCTTTATGTTTTAAAATAAAATTTTCTTCTGTATTTATGTATTCACTTATTTGTTTATTCGTACATACAGTTGTATTTTGTAGCCTTAATGTCACCCAGAGGAGGGAATTTTAAGAAATTCTGACACGGGATCTGAGAACTGAGGGTTGCTGTCAGATACCTGAGGGACCCTTAGTCACTCATTTCAGAACTATCCCTTCTTTATCATACAGACAGCATGTGACAATTGAGAATGTAGGAATGAAGACGTGTGAGTTAGGGACTAGGGAATTAGACTACCTGGGGAACTAGATGAGTAGGGTCTGGTGGAATTAAAGTGTTTACTAAGCACGGTGCCACTTTTTTTTTTTTATTGTTGCACTTTATTTTAATTCTACCAGATGAAAGTCGTGTTTCTGAGATCAAGAAGGAAGTTATGTTCTTCAGGTTTCAAAGTAGGACTCTGCTTTTCTTCAGAGCAGAATGAAAATCTAAAACACTAAGAGTGCTGAAGAGCCTGAGAAATGGTATTTTAAGGTGGAGATGTTCCTCATAGTGAAAACCTAACCTCTCCTAAACAAGCAGAGAAATAATAATTTAGAAGGGCCAGTGTGTACATCGATGTATTAATGAGATGGCATTCAGTTACTTGGTATTTGGTGAGCATTCACTCGTTTATCACATTTAGTTTAATGTGTATAATATGTACATAAATACGTATTGGGATATGCATGTTTATAGCTGTGTGTTTGTATATGCACATATATATTTGTATGTGCTATGCATATGTGCACAGGATTTGGGGCATGCAAGAATATTTAATATGAAGTCTTTTCCTTCCTGGAACTCAACCACCTGGTTGATAAAAGCACGCATATGAGGAAATCATTGTACTACAAGGTGATAGGACAGGTATTGAAGAAAAATAGTGCTGTTAAAGTTTAGAGATGAAAGTTATCCTTTTATTTGGGGGATAGGAAGTTTGATGACAGTAATGTGTCCTGTGATCTTTCCTTGGACCTTAGGGTCTGAACCAATTATGTTCCTTTTCACATAACTTGGTCTCACTCTTTCAAAAGAGCAAGCTTTGGAATTGGAAGCTGGTGGAGATATCTCTGTGGCATTCTGCCACCATGCCTGGGCCTATGACGAACCAGGTATTGGTGGTCCTTCAAGTCCATGTCCATGTACTCAGATGACTTTTCTTAACTGGATCCTGTTTGGAACATGCATCTGGTACGAGCATGGAGTGCTTGTCCAAAAAGAAAATTATTGGTAAAAGGAAGAGGGTGATCATTTTAGAAATGGCAAAGGAGCCTTGGCCTGGGATTTAAATGTGGAATTGGCCTAATTCAGCTATGCTGTCCTCAAATGGCTAAAACACTGTTTGCAGTAGCAGACTTCTTTTTAATATTTTAGCCAAGTGAAATAGGAGGAAAAGTGAAAGGTGGGTACAATCTCATAGTATTGAGGAATTTAACAACATGTTCAATTCAAGGACCTTTACAGACTTTTTCGATCACTATAATTCGGTTTTACAGACCTCTAATTTAAGGCACGGCAGAGGCAAAGAATTACAGACTGCTTGGGAGCTGTGAGGACTGGGTTACTTCTTTCCAGCCTTCCCATCAGTGAGATTCCGAGAAAGAATTTCTTAAAAAGAAATTTTGTTTTCCCCAGTTGTAACTTCAGATGGTATGCCTTTTGGCTTGTTTATATTAGCTGTCTGGGGTTGAGCTGACATTTTTCAAATATTAAAGCAGTAGTATGCCTTTTGAGGAAATCTGAAATGTAAGTTAACAGGAAGGGCACCCAGAAAGTGCAGGAATTCCTGCACATTACAGGAAGACAAGCTACAGGAAAAATGTGTCACCTACACTACCCAGGAGAGAAAAACTATTGTTATCAGCCATAATGTTCTTCTGAGGGAGGGAAGAGGAGAGGGGGGAGGGAGGTCAGGCATTTCCCAGTTCACCTGAAACTATGAAAAAAAAAGTTTGACCCTGTTAAAGTCCACTCTTTCTCACTTCTCTTCTTGGTCACATAAAAAAAGTGAGTTTATTCTGGTTTAATATAAGGATAAGTAAATCATATGAGACATACTTCTAAGGCATAATTCAGGAGTATATAGCAGAATGATAGGAAAGAGCTTAACCTTACTCAGCTCTTTGCTTCTGCAACTCGTTCCACCCTGGGAAATAAAATGTGTAAATTGCTCATTCTCTGTAAATTCCTTTGTTAGGCTGCACCAGACAGACTTGTCATGCTTACCCCGTAATCTGAGCCAGTAAGTTTTCTAACTCTGCACATTTCAGAACACAGCATCAGAATGGGGACCTTGGGCTCCCTGAGCTTGTTTGGTACTGGTGTTTCGTTCAGGTCTGTACGGCATGAGGAGCTGTAGAGGGGTCTGGGGGGAATTTCTTGGTGATAAATGGATAAAAGGGTTGAGATTCTCAGCCCGCTGTCTTTCACAGATTAATGGCATTTTAACTATTCCCCCAGTATTTTCAAACCTGAAAAATCTACAGAGAATATTTTTAAAATTTAAAAGGAAAAAATTATATAAATAGTACTTGTTTGTGATAGAAATGTTGGTTAGAAAAGGACACTAAGAATTAAGAACTACTAGTTAGTGCGGTATACAGGTTGGCATTTATGTTTTTGGACTTTTCTGCCTCTCTATATGTTATGTTTACATATGTGTGAGAGATGCAAAATGTATGAAAATGTCTAATTACCTTTGTTTTACTTACTAATATGCTGTGAAATATTTCTAAGTTAATATGTTTTTACATTGATAATGTCCAATTCCATTACACTTATTTAAATAGCATATTTCTGTTTATTAATTTTAAATGTTGTGGATAATGCCATGATGATTTTCCCAGTTCATACATTATTGTGCATATGATGGCCTTAGACTAAATTCCAGGAAGTGAACTATAGGTTGTGAATGTCCAATTCTTTTCGCCTCCTCATTCTTTGCTGTGCCCTTTGGAAATAACTGTTTATTATTATGAAAATAACATATCCTCGGTGAAAAATTCAAACCAAAGAGAAATTCATGATAAGATTATAAAACTCATTTAAAGTCATGCTACCCACAGGTAATAACTGTTAGGTTATTGGTGATTGTTGTTTTAATTCCTGTGTATATTATTTTGTAACCTTGTATACTGTATTGTGTATCTTGGATACTTTTCCATAATAGTACATATAGAATTGCCTCATTCTTTTTCACAGTTGTAAATTTTAATTTGTAAGAATGTAGCCCTTCATTTACACGGTCTTCCATTGGACTGTCATATCGCTTTCATTTTTTCGCAGCTATAAGCAATACCGCAAGGAATACCTTCAACATTTATCTGTGTACATTTGCTTAATTATTTATCTAGGTTGTCCTTTAAGTGGAAATCCTGGATCAAAAGTGTGCATGGATTTATTGCTGAATTGTTCTCTCGAGAGCTGACACTGATTCTCACTGCCACCAGTAACATTTGGAAGTGCCCATTCTTTCCTTTGAAGCATTATGGCAAATAAATTTGCCTTCCCAAAAGGTTATGCTTTTCTGTATCCTGGGTATACTAATTCGAAGAAAGAAAATCTTTGCCAGTGTGATAAAAGATATTTATAATCTATTCTTATTTATATTTTCTGAACAATTAGTTGATTTTTCATTTTTTGACATTTGTACTTCATTGGTTGAATTTCTTTCTGTTGCATACAATGTATTTTCAAAATTTTAATTGGGGATCAAGTTATTTTCAAAGTTAGGCTAGAAAATTCTGAGATTGGACAGGTTAGCTAATTAAAAGTTGGAAACTGAGTTCCATGCATTGAAACTGTTTATTTCTTTCATGAAGTCTAGTTTTAATTCTAACCAAAATGCCATGTGTAAATATCACATATCTCATAAACTCATTTTGTTTATGCTGTCTATAGCTATCCAGACCCACATGAAATAATAAGGGAAATGTAGTGATCTAATTTAAATTCCAGTCTGGGAAATAACTTATTTCTGAACAGGTCTACAGAAATAGGTTTTCTTTTATAACTGATATTTAGGCAGGACGTGGTTGTGTTATGTCCACTGCTGCGGAATACTTTCATTTATTAGCTTAATGTGCAATAACTAGGCACAGAAAATGG